AGAAAGGAGAAAAATTGTTCTCTTTAACCTCAGAAGATAGAACAAGCAGCAATTGGCTTAAATTACAGTAAGGACAGTTCAGTTTGGATATTAGGAAAAACTTCCCAGAACTGGACACAATACTCCAATAAGGCCTAATTAGTGCAGAGTAGAGTGGAAGAATCACTTCTCATGTCTTACTCCCAACACTCCTGTCAATGCATCCCAGAATGGCCATAGCCCATCAGCTTGATGACAGCTGACATCAGCTTGTACTTTGTCTCAGAGAAACAAGTTTATCCCCTTCCCTCCCTGCCCCATACTTGTCTGGTAAACACCCCTCAGTCATCATTTCAACTAACTTCACAACTTTATATATAATTTTGCTACTCGCATCTCACTATGATATTACTGACCAGCAAATTAATACACTGTGGAGCTCAAAAGCTCATCTCTCTCACCAACAGAAGGTGGTCCAATGCAAGATATTACTTCCCCCACCTGCTTTCTCTAATACCCCTCACAGCACTTGCCTCTGTCTGACTGAAAAGGCATAGCCTGTGTTCTGGTAGCTAACACAATATTCAAACACCATAAAGGACTCTGATTTGTAAAGGATTTAGGTATTGCTGCAGTCAGCACTGCAATGTCTAGCTGATTTAGGAGCCTATGCCTCATTTTCAAAAAGGGATTTAGGCATTAAGGAGCCAAAAGTCCCATTGGCATGACTCCCCTGAGGTTAGCAAGAATCATGCACTAAGTATAGCAAGTCAGACAAATGAGAATCATTGCTCAGCTCTGACCCCCTTCCTCCTCTAGAGCTGATCTGGAACAAAAACATTTAAGCCTGAAGTGTTCCTGGGATACTTCCCCTTATTCATTTTGCATTTTACCTGGCTCTGCCAATGCTGCTCCCTGAAGTGCTAAAGAAGCACTGAATTAAGTCTGGGTGGGGGAGGACAGACAATGAACATGAGTTGTCTGACCTGGTGCTCAAGGTTGCAGAAAAATCTGTTCTCAACACTTTTGTTGCCAGGCATGGATGTGGCACAGCTGGGTTTGGAGAGATGGATAGCCCAGGTGTGTCCTCCAAGAAGTTTGGAGAGTTCAGATAAGCTTGGACTAAGCAATCAGACTGACATTTGTGTCGCTCTTGTGCCACTGGGGAGAACAGAGTCTCTTTGCCCAGTGTGCTGTAGAGTCATTATGATCATTTCTATTACTTATTCATTATTCATGTGGCAGTAAAATCAAAAAGCCCTAATCAGGATCAGGAGTCCTATAGTCCAAGTGCTGTGTAAGCAGACACTAGCTGATAACTTTGAGAGGGGCTAGATTTGAACCATCACCTCACTGATGCCGTGTTTGGCTAGCCCAGCTGAACCACTCAGAACCCTGAGCCACCTTAGCCCCCTCAAGAGTGCAAAAGATGGTTTAGCATTGAGTGTATTCATTAATAACCTTTCCACAGAAGACAAATTTGTAATCGTTGTGTTAGTGCAAAAGGGACTAGCTCTCCTCTCACTTGCACATGAGGTTGGTACAAAGCCTAGGTCATTGATTAGTGGGGTTACTCCTGTTTTACATTTAACTTACAGGAAAAGAATCAGTGCCTGGATTGGCAGAAAATTCTTCCTACTTAATAACCCCCCACAGGGTGCTACCAAGACCGTTCCAAATTTGTAATCGTTGTGTTAGTGCAAAAGGGACTAGCTCTCCTCTCACTTGCACATGAGGTTGGTACAAAGCCTAGGTCATTGATTAGTGGGGTTACTCCTGTTTTACATTTAACTTACAGGAAAAGAATCAGTGCCTGGATTGGCAGAAAATTCTTCCTACTTAATAACCCCCCACAGGGTGCTACCAAGACCGTTCCAACTCTAA